CTGAGGAGGGTGCCATCACATCGATCGCTTTGGGTCCGTTGTCCTCCGAGAGGTGGGAACCGTTCCTTCTAGTCCTCTCCTTTACACGCATCAGAGAGAAGAAAAAAAAGAAGGACGACGAAAGAGAAAGAAAACACACACACACACAAAGCCACAGCCGTTATCTGGTGCAGTTGAAGGTGGGCCTGTCTCGAGGCAAAGGTCACTCCCCCAACCCTGCAGCTGATGGGTAGACTGGAAGTGTCTGTACTAAGGGCAAACCTTGGACAGCAGTTCTAGATTTGAAAACGGCCACCAAGGCAATACCTGCAGAAGTCCCTGGACACTGTGGGATGCTATCCCTTGGCCTCGATCACACTTGGCTGAAGTTACCTCCAGCACACTGGGTGGGCCCAGGGAGCAGCAGGAAGGACCAGTGCCAGGGCCAAGTGCGAAGCTAGCACGCTTTCTCTACACTCCTGTGAAGAAATATGGCGACAGTGATGCCCTGAGTCTGCCTGTTCTTTTGAGGACAGAAGTGCTTGGCGACGGAGTAGCCAGGCCAGCTCTTCCATCGTCACTCATGAATGAGCAATCACAATGGACTTAACAGAAGTGCTTGGCGACGGAGTAGCCAGGCCAGCTGCTCTTCCATCGTCACTCATGAATGAGCGATCACACTGGACTTGGGGCTTGAGGCACACAGGGGTAGGACAGGGTTGCTGGGCTATCCTTGAAAACTGGGGACTCTCTAGTCTCAGCTTCACGGAAGCAGCAGGGGCCAGGGAGGCTTACTGGGGCAGGCAGCTGCGCACCGGACTCCTCCTCCCCCATGGGGATGCAGCTGCATTTCTCCTTCAGCAAGAGCCAGCTCAGGAAATGCAGCGCCACTGGATGAGGGCATGGAATGGGGTTAGGGGGTGAATCCAGGGAAGGTGAAGCCCAGGATGGGCCCAAGAGTTAGAGTCCTTATCCTCGTGTGAACTTCTGGGTGAAAGGAATCAAGGGTGAGCCTAATTCTCAGGCTTTCTGGAAAGGTAAGAACATCTGGTTTGGCCAAGGAGAGGGTGGAACTGCCTAAACAAAGACCCTGCGTGATCAGGACCAAGAGTCAGAGACTAGGCTACTTTCTGTGCTCTTAAGAATCTCTCTTGGAGCACAGTACAGGGCAGGGGCTGGACCTCTCAAGAAGGAGCCCAGAAAACAGACAGGAGAGTCTCTTGGCCAACTCTCTGCTTATGTATGTGGGGAAGTCCAGAGCTGCCTCTTACAGGTCAAAAGTTCAGGCAAGTATAAGAAATTGGCCAGTGAACCTTGTCTAGTCCATTCAGTCCCCCTTTGTGTCCTATGTTCTTTCTGCATTCTACGTGCCCATGTCCAGCTGCTTAGGGCTGGCTCGGGAAATGGAGAGGCCTTCCAAGCCTAAGCCACAATGTACAGCACCTTGACCTCCTTGATCATCCCCTGGGTTTGGGGAGGGGGGCTCCATCTCCCACAAGCTCTCGGCCCACTGTAGCTGTTCTCCCTCCCTGCCCTGAGTGTGCTCCACGTTAGTCTGAAGGTCTCGCCAGGGCAGGGAGAGTCCTCTCAATCTGGATTTAGAGCAACTCTTGAAAATTGCAAGGCAGAGCCCAAGTTTCCCCAGCTCTGCTAACAGCTTACTGAGGTTGGGTGTGTGGGGGAGGTGCAGTGACACGGTGGAGCAGGGAAACTGGTGCGCCCTGCCCTGCTGTGCGTCCTGGATGCATAGTGAGCTGGGCTTCCAGGAAGGTCTGCTGGCTTTGGCCACTTGGTCCTGGGGACCTATCTGCCTGGATCCTTTCCCAGGGAGAGAAGAATCTGGACCAGCATCACACTTCTTAAATTGACATGGTCCTGGTACCTTGAGCCACCTACCTGTCCCCAAGGCCTGAGAGGGCTCTGGGCAAAGTTCCCCTTGAGCAACCCCCATGGCTCAAGGGCCCTGGGTCCTGGGCCCCTGGCCCATCCGCGTCTATGCTGCACGCTGCTCCCGCCGCCAAGCGGGGCTGTGGCCTCCGCACCCGAGCTGACCTTGGATTAGAGAACTGTTAGGCCAGTCCTGCCTCCTATGCGTTGGCTGGCAGGGCAAAAGGTGGAGTGGACAGACAGACAGTGCACAAACGGTGGACAGGGGATGGCTGGCTGAGTGTAACTACATTCACAGGCATGACCCATTGGAGGAGCTGGGACAGGTGCCCATGGCTGCAGACTCTGCAGCACATATGGGCAAACTTGAGGCATGGCTAGGGGCAGAATTTGGTTTGGCCACTTGGGACCAATCCCTCCAAATACACAAACCACTTTTGCCCAGGAGACCTAGTGGGCCTCTACCAGATGTAATTACACACAGGCAGGTGCACGGAGCGGGCCGAGGACACAGAGTGCAAAAAGAGCCCCTACTTGTATTCCTATAGAAGACAGTTTCCTTTTAGGGATGGCCTCTGGGTGGGATTCTGAGCTGGTCAGCGTGCCTTGTTCACTCTTCAAAGCTGCATGTTTTGGAGGTGGTTCTGGGGCCTCAGAGGCTGGGGTGACTCCACCTCGTGTCACGCTGGGTGGTCGGGTACTGCTGTCCAGGCTGTCCGACGAGTTGCTCAGGCCCGACTGGCTTGTCACCTCGCTCTTGTGGTCCTGGCTGTCCAGGTAGGTGTCCTGGGCAGACTCGGTACTGCTCTGGACTGTGACTGAGATGAACGGCTTTGACGTGGTGCGTGGAGGGACCGGTGGCGGGGTCTTCTTATACGCCACTAGGCATGATGAACCTACAGATGGGTGAGAGGACAGGAGAAAGTGAGGTCCCCAACTCTTTTAAGCTCCTTGTATGTCTGAGGACCTACCTGACCTGGCCCTAGCTTTGGCCTCAGCCGTTCTCTAAGCAATGACTAAGACAGACAGACACAGGCCCTGGCCACCCTCATGCTAGGCCAAGGCCAAGTCTAGTGGGGAATGCCAACATGGACAAAAGATACCCTTCACCTTTTAGTCACACACAAAGGTATTATCCAGCTGGGGCATGGGCTTAGACTGTAAAGTTCATGGTGCTATAGGCTGTGACGGAACCTGACCTGTGTCAGGGGAGGCAATGACAGCAGAGTAGAGGTCAGGACAGCTAAGGAATGGCTGACCTTGCATTCCTCTGAGAGACCTACTGCCCCCCTCCCCTCTTCTACTCTACCTTCCCGCTACCCCTGTTCCCTCTACTTGGATGCCCCGCTCCCTGTCTGGTGAAAGACTAACATGGCTGACCTTGCATTCCTCTGAGAGACCTACTGCCCTCCCCCATTCTACTCTACCTTCCCGCTACCCCTCTACTTGGATGCCCCCCTCCCTGTCTGGTGAAAGACTAACACGTCCTTCTTGCTTTTCCCATCCCATCTCCCCCTTGTTATGTGAAAACCCTATATACCAGTCTGCCTCTCCCCAGACTCCATCATGCCTGGTCCGACTCCCCATTCTCCGCCAAGGTTCAGGGAACCATGGGTGGGAGTTGAGGTCATCTCTGAATCCCATTCCCAGCCTGGCCTGGGGCTGGCCTACAGCAGGGTCAAAGAGCCAATGGCCCGCAGCTAGCTTCTTAATGCTGAGCTATTTGTCTGAAACAGCGGATACTTTTCAAACAGCAGTAGCTACTTGCTGTGAGGGGCTAGGTCAGAGCCAATGGCTTTTCTCAGCATCCTGACCCCAATAACCCTTTTTTCAGTGAGGACTGAAATAAGCCTCTACCCAGGTCTGGACCCAGGTTGGGAGCAGGAGCCAGATGAGTGAGGTTAAGTCCTGCCTTCAAGGGGCTACCAATGACGGAGATGGTGCTGGCCCAATGGAAATTCACAAAACAAAGCCCAGTGCCACAGGGGCTGTGGACAAGGAACAGAATCCATCCATCCGTCACTATGAGTTATCACCAAATGAACCTAACAGAATGGCTAAAGTAAAAAATGATGACAACACCAAATGCTGGCGATGAAGTGGAGAAACTGAATCACTCATACGCTATTGGTGGAAATGTAAAATGATATAACCACCCTGGAAAAGTTTACCAGTTTCTTTTAAAACTAAACATGCAATTACCATATATCCCAGCACTTTACTTTTGGGCATTTATCCCACAGAAATGGTAACATGTTCACCAAAAAAATTATCCAAGAATGTTCATGGTAGCTTTATTTGCAATTGCCAAAAATTGGAAACAAGCTAGACGTCCCTCAGTGAGTGAATGGTTAAACAAACTGTGGTGCATCCAGACAATGTGGATTACTGCTCAGCAATAAAACCAACTATTGATATAAGCAACGTGGATGAATCTCAAGTGAATTAGGCCTAGTGAAAAAAGCAATCTTAAAAAGTTGCGTACTGTATGGTTCTGTTTATAAAACATTCTTGAAATCACCTAATTATAGAGATGGGGAACAGACTAGTGGTTGGTAGGGAGGCTAGTGGGAGACAGCGATGGGGAGGCTAGGAGGGACGTGGGTGGGGTTAGAAGAAGGTGACAAGAGGAATACTTGTGTGCGCTAATTGATGGAACTGTCTGTATCTCCACTGTGGTGGTGGAAACATGAACCTACATGTGACGAAACTGCAAAAGACTAAACATATGCACATGAGAGTGATTACACAGGTTACATCACAGAGGTCAAGGCTCAGAAAGGCCCAGGGTTGGGATTCTTCCTACTGGTTTCTGGTACAGAGAAAGCTAGGCCTGGAGGGGGCAGGGTGAGCCAAAATCGCACCACTCCCCAGCCACTGGTAGGGAGGATGGACTGGTTCCCTAACTAGCAGTTTCACCCACGAGCTGGGCATTTAGGGCAGCCTGTTGAAGCCAGTGGCTACCAGCGCCCAGCAGAGACAGGACTCACTGGGGATTTTAGGAATTGATTTGTTTGGCTTAAATATCCCCAAGAAAGCAGGGCATCACTGATGTTTTCTACCTTAGATCACAAGAGTGAAGCCCCAATCTGTTCAAAATGTTTTCAGGGAGAACGCCCCTTAAAGGGGATAGCAGTGAGCAGAAGGAGCGAGAACTGTGCTCTAAACCTGGCTAAGGCGGTGTGACCCCAGTCAGTGTGTGCGGGAATCTGTGTGGAAGAGGCACCTCCCCCACCGCCCCCGCCAAGAGACAACGAGGTTGCCCACAGCCAGGGGTCTGGGCAGAGGACTAACCCTCCAACCTCTCTTTCGTGGTCGTCCAAACCCAGAGCCTGCTGAAGTACACTCAGAGGCCCTGGTAGGGCAGCCACTCATTAGAGAGAAAGTGAACTACCGAGAAGCTAGATATGATGAGGAAAAGTGAACTTATCTTAGATTATGTCTTCTGGGTCCCAGCCAGATAAGTGGTATGATTAATGGAGGATTTCAGGGCCTTGTGGGCTCCCTGGGTGGCAGGCATCCCTCAGCTCTGAGCCCTGTCCCTCCCAGGGCAAGGGGATGGGACCCAATTATACAAGACAGCTCTTATTTCTCATATAGGAAATGCCAGGAAGTACTGGCCATCATCTCCCCTGCCCCTTTCAAGAGCATGCTCCAGCCACTCTGTGTTTCTCATACCCATCACACTTCCTCCCATCTTGGGGCCTTAACACATGTTCCTTCTGTCTGGCAAGCTTCTCTCAGCTCCTCACGTTTCGAACGTCGCTTCATCGGAGAGGAGCCTCCCCTAACTGCTTTCCACTCTCGTATCACCCAGGATTTACTTGGTTTATAGGCCTGCAGAGGTTAAGGGAACTCTGCCTGTCTTGGCACAAAAGGTCGTATTCCAGGCCTAGGGTAATACTTTAAGCACTGAAAGCTCTCAATAAATATTTGTTGAATGAGTACATGAATCTCATCATCACTACAAAAACCCCTCAGTTGCCAAAAAAGATGATTATTTAGCCATAGTGAAGGCTCCCAACACTTTGGTATCCAAGGCTCTAGACCTTTTGGCTTGGTCCCACCCAACCATCTCTGCAGCTTCGCTTCTGCCCTCCCACCCACTCAGCATGCCCCATGCAGCTTGAGAACCAAATGAACATTCCGGATCACACCACACTCTATGCACCCAAGCCTCTGCACATGCACTTCTTTAAGCCAGAATCCTTTTTCGTGTCCTCCATGCTTCTCTAGCCAGTCCCTCTACCCTTAGCTTTTTCTGGTCCAGGCAGAGTCTGGCCCTCTCTTTTCTCTGTGGATCTGCTGGAGCATTCAGGCCATTCTGTGGCCATGATGATCCTGACTGAGAGCATGTTCCATGTGTCAGTTGCTCAGTGCCTACGCCAGGGAATGCACAAGTGCACAACCTTCCTTTGCCCATTAAACTGTGGAGGGAGGCAAGTGCCCCTGAGACCCAAGATGTTGGACCTGGACAGATCTGCATCCTCCAGGATGTCACTCTGGCCCTCTCTACCCTGGGGAGAGGTTCTATGTACCACAATTTACAACAACATGGCACTCTTTGTCCATTCACTCTGGAAAACTCAGATTTGCTCGGGAAGCATGGGGTGAGCATCCCTCCAGCGTGACTGTCTCCCTCAGCTTTCAAAGATCCCAAGTGAAGCACTGCTGAGCCATAGCAGCACGCGCACACTGACCAACCAACCACTCCCAGGAGCCACATGCTTCCCAGCCCCCATCTTGGCCGTGCTGGTCCCTCATGCCAAGGCTCAGACAGAAGCCAGTTGTGTGATGCCGCCTCCATGCAGTCTGCCTCAGCCCCAGACATCCAGCCCAGCCTCCCCGCCCCACGGTACACAAGTCCTTGCTTCTTCTAAGTGGAAGCTCCCTTTGTCCCTTCTGCCTTCTGGCCCAAGATTTTATCCAGCAAGATTTTATCAGGTCAGAATGAATTTGTTTCTGCATTTTGTTTTTTAATGTCAATGTGTATAAGATGGCCAAAGAGAGCTTCAGAGTCCCTTTAGAGGAGTGGCTGTGACTCCATCTCTTGAGAGATCTGGAGGACACGGCAACCCCAGGAAGCTAGCCCTCTGCCAAGATGGGCGTGGTCCTGAGGTCTAGCACAGCCCTCAGGCTTGCTGCCTCCCAGGGGCCCAAGCTTGGCAGTGGGGCTAAAGAAGAGATCTCGACTCCTTAATAGTAATAAATGCAGGGGACCAAAGAGTGTGGGAGCCATGGCAGCAAGCTTTACAGAAGAGACAGTGGAGCCCACTCAAGGCCCCACATGAAGGGACAGAACTGGCCTCTGAGCCAGAACCCCTTAACTCTTTGCTGGCTCTGGAAAAGGCTTAGGCTTGTCAGAGGAAGGGCTGAGGCTCTATAAGATCCCATTCTCCCTCTCACCCAGTAACTTGTCAAACCATGCCAACTAAATCAAACAACCCCGCTGGTTATTGCAAAAAGGGAACTCAGGGCTCCCACTCGCCCAGCCTCAAATTCCTCTCTCCTTCCCTCTGTTTCCTCCCCCAAGGGAGAGGAAGCTGGGAGAGAATTCCAAGCAGCTTGGTCAGGATCAGGGACAGACTGCCCTTTCCTGTTGGTAGTCCAAGTGACCCCCACTTTCCCACTGTGTCAGTCTGGAAGTCACCTCTGCTGCTGTGCACTGGGTTAGCTTAAAGTTATCAAACTTTAATTTTGAACTGCAGCAAGAGGGACTGGCAGCACCCCTCACCCCAACATCTTCCTGGGGAATCTCCAGCGCTCCCCAGTCAGGTGCTCTCTAACTGCCTCTCTCATCCTTCTCCTCCCTCAGTGATCTAGAGTCAGCTTCACCTAAATGCTCCCCACACCGCTGCCCCCTGGCCTCCCAACCTCCTGTGCAGCCTTTCCTGTT